ACGTGCAAACGGACGAAACATTGTTGGCCAATAACTCTTAGCATTGCTGGATGTTACATGTTGCGTCCGTTTGCACACTCTTTTGCACGTCGTTGGGTGTTGTTGGGATTTGCCTCATCCGCTTGCACACAACTAGACACGGACGCAACAACACGCAACATTGTTGGCGCAACAATGTTTGGAGTTGTTGCGTCCGTTTGCACTTTGCTTTAGGGTGGTTTCATCTAAACGTTACCTTATAATTGGCATAATGAGTTATATACATCATTACATGTAGTAAATTATTTCTGGTCAGAGCTGGTTGGTGCTGTGCTCATGTATAAGGGATGTATAAGAACGCTTGTGTAACACAGAATATAACCATGGCACCCTTTTTTCAGTGAAATGCAACTTATTAAAAGATAGAGGTTTTCTCAGTTAAGACTCCAAACTTAAGTAATTTCGTTCCTTTATGTCTTGCATGGCAACGGAGAATATATCATCCTGTATAGTCACATGACTTCTAGGATTAATAAAAAAGTATGTATGGAGAAGAAGTGGCGCATAGAACGTTTGCGCCGCTCACAAGGGAAATCAAAACTAAACCGGCCGAAATTTCGCGACGCTACCACTGGTTTCTCCTCGAAGTGACGTCTGAGGAATGAGTGCAGAAATTCCACACTGATTACGTGCCACTACCCAGATCTGGGTACTGCTTCCGATTGATTGAAGCAAATTTAAGCAGAAATACTACCCAGATATGTCAGATATGGGCAATGACCAGTATAGAATGTCTACGCTTGTTCTTTAAAAGTCATTTCACGGGGCACCCAGTGCTGGCGCCACGAAAGGTTGGCTGTTTTCTTACGCTATGGCTTGGCTTCTATGCTTTCTCCTTATATTCGTTCCCTTTTTTGATTGGTTTACCAAGGGAATTTCTGGGTGGCCAGTTTGATTAGCCAAAGTAGGTAGTTGGTAACAGTGAAGATGTACATGGAGATATAGTACGGGAAGCAAAAATATAACGAGGTCTTCTCCTCTCCGAGGGGAGGGGGCGTCTGTACACAATCAGGAGCTGACACAGGCTTTCCTTTCCCCGCGCGCGTTAAACTACCATATTTATTCGATTAACCGCCCTGGGCGCTTATCAAATTTTTCGACCTTGAGGGTGGACGCTAATTCGAGGTGGGCGCTTATTCGCGGCTGGGCGCTTATTGAAATTTCACCATTTTCAGCAAGTGCAGTATGTTTATTTTTGCAACAAAACAATAAGTGGTAATAACAAAACGCGAAGATGTAACAAAGCAAGGTTCCTGTAAACTACTCTGAAGAAAACGCCGTCTTCGGGGAAGTCTCTTATTAGAAGTTATTCAATTTGAGGCGGAGGGTGGGAGCAGGAACGGGGTGGGGTAAGGGTGGCCGCTTATTTGAGTTTGAGCGGGAGAGGATGGGGTGGGGTTGGGCACCTATTCAACGCTGGACGCTTATTAACTTTTTCTACCTTAGAATGGGCGCTAGTTCGAGGTTGGGCGCTTATTCGAATAAATACGGTATCTTTATTCTTTCTCTTTCTTTAAATCTGGATTCGCGCATTCCCCTTCTTCAATTTGTTCGCTATGGGACGCGCGCGCGCGCGTGTTGTGTAAGGAAGGACGCACTGCACGTACATTTTGTGTATGCTTCCTATGGCACCTTGTGATCTCTATTCTCTCTAGCCTGCGTGGCACTCGTTTTAAAGGGGAGGGAAAAGTGGGAATTCGCGGGCGCGAGAAGGGGGAAAAAGGTGGAGGGAAGATTCCTTTTTTCCCTCTCCTCGCGCGCCCCTTGCTTTCTCGCGTGCTCCCTTCCCCTTGTAATGCCTGCTACGCAAGGCCACCGTTCCTGAACCGGTTGATGCCCTGGATAGACCCTCAGAAATCATAACTGATATTCAGATGGAAATGGCCGCTTCTGTTTCAGCTGTTGACTGGTCCCAAATTGCTGCGATGGTCGGGAATCATTTCCGTTATGAGAACTCGCACTGGGAGTCGATTAATTGGTCGTCGATGGCTCAAGCTCGACCTTATCCCAGGGTCAGAAAACAAAAAAGATCTACCGCTTGCGCTTCGCGCTCGTGCAAAAATTTGAGCTCGACTTGTACGCAAGTCTAATCCCAGGGTTCTCTCCTACCCCTCGTAGGAGAGAGAACCTGGAAACGAGGCTGGGTTCGACTCTAATTTCTTTATCATGATGTTCGGCCCTTAGGCAAAAATGGAAACTACTCGTAGTCTCATGATCATGCAGTCCATGCACTTTAGCAGGAGCCGATTAGTCTGCTTTAGTCGCGAGAAGTCAACCTCGTCCCCAGGGCTTTTCCCTTAAAAAAATGGGTGGGGCGGGAAAAGGCCCTGGCATCGGCTGGTCACGTGTCCCCTCGTACACCCTAAAATCCTGGGTGTAATAAATTAGCGCTATGTGAAAAGCTAAAATTATGCGTAACCTCACAGCGCGCGATCTTGGGCGGCCTTTTATATCTCTTGACGATTAACAAAAAGTTTTACAAGATTTCCTTTTCGTCACAGATACTGGCTATGGTATTTTTTTGCTTTCCTCCGATTTCTATGAAGGGGACAGCGAGTAACACTTATAACAACGTTTATAGAGCGATATAAGTACATATAAATGACAAACAAGCTATCGTACAGGCATAAAGTTTGTACTGGAAAAGTTCGTTTTCGCGACTCTTCTGATATTTTATTTCATTTCTCGCGAAGTGGACCGCCGTACACAG